GGTGACGTGGTTGGCGAGGTCGTGGGTGACGTGGTCGGTGAGGTCGTGGGTGAGGTGGTCGGTGAGGTCGTGGGTGACGTGGTGGCTGTGCCACAGCACTCAAGCAACACGTTGTAGCTTGAAATCCAACTGGCACCCTCGGGTGGCACGAGGCACCACTCTGTTGCAGGGTCGCCATCTTGATAGCATGTGTCGACATCTTCGCAATTTATTGGAAACGGCGGAACGATTGAAACCTTGCAACTCTGGTACCAACATTGTGTGGCGCCCGGCACGTCTCCTCGCACACAGGCTCCAAGGATCCGTGTGTTCGGTGGCGGCGTGAAGCAAAGCTCCCCAAAAAAGATTCCTAGATTGAACCATTCGCACGAGGTCTGGCGGCCATCGAAATCGCACGCTTTGGGGGTTGAGGTGGAGGCGTCCAAGAAGCAGTTTAGATCATTCTTTTGAGAGCTTGTACTGGTCGTGATACCTCGAAAACGCATTCGGAAAACAAGAATCTGCAGCGTGAACGCCACTAGTATTGCCGCCGAGGCACAAACGCAATCCTGGTAGCCAGCGCAGCGATAATTAGTTGGCGACGTCTGTTGGATCCCGAAGGGGTTGGCCCCATTGAAATCGCACGAGGCGGTGGGCTCTCCACTGACGCTCTTGATCCATGCGACCTCGAGTGTGATTGTGGAGTTTCGGTTTTCCGTTGTGAAGTCTCTGGCTTGTTTGTACCTGGAAAGGCGTATAGTATGAACACCCCTTTTTGTCGGCTGTCTTTGGACAGAATTTATCGTATGAACATAACCAAAAAACAATACCAGTATATACAAAAGCGTACCGATATGAAACCCAAACTTTATCAACGTTTTATTGACAAAAACCCAAACACTATATTATTGATAAAACTCAATCAAACCCAATATTCAGAGGAATTCCAGCCGTATTTGTCCATTTGACAAAAAAGGCCGGATGCATGGATTTTTTGTGTGCGAACGTGATTGAAAACACAAGATGCACATTTGGATTCCCTGGTATTAATTTGCAATTAGGGAAAGCAGCCGGCGACAAACGACCTTGGGGCCCGGCAAAGCCATTTTTCACACCCAGCTGCATCAGGACCGACGGGTCCTGCGAGAGAAAACCAAGCTCTTTTTCATGGACCAGCATGTCATATCAAGTCTTCGAAGCAGTCGCTCCACGGAAAATCACAAACAAACAGAAACGGCATACATGGGCCAGACATGAAAAACCCGACGGCGTGCCCAAATCGGCGAGAAAAAGCAATTATCTCTCTCTGCGGTTGTCTTTAGAAAGCGCGAACAGATCTCCACACGATGCAAATCGATGCAACCCCACCTCCAGTGGCTCGCAGTACTCATCTCTTTCAGGAACATCTGCCAGCGCCCATCCACACAGCAGTGCCACAATCATGCCGCGCATCATGTGAAGATTCCCTCACAAGAAGTTGGTTTTGAGAAGTCTGCCTCTTTGAGCTCAAAGGCGGCTGCAGCCATAATGCTATGATCATGATGCAAAGTAGAATGCCAGAATCCCCCATTAGAAACCTGAAATATTCTGAAATGTAGCCGCCATGAGAAGATTTTAGTTTTCCAAAATCTCTATTTTTGGTCACCAGGTCGTTCCAAAGGCACACCTAGAAGCAATGGCCTCCAAACTAGCAACAATGGCCTCCAACCTAGAA